ACACACACACACACTCACATGTACCGTATATACAATATGTAAACATACACTGTGACACACTCACATGTGTACGTTTTGTACACATACACATCCTAAAATAGGGAATTACAAAATACATAGTAATGTAACAAGCAAAGATTTCCAAATTACTCTCACTGAAGTGAATGTGAATGTTGTTATGTTTGGCCAACTTTTTGTTTGTCTTTAGTCAGGATTTTTACCCTCTGCCCCCCTTCCTTAAAAGAAAAGTCTGTCTGCTGGTTATCTCATATACTGTGTTTTCTATACTTTTCTATAATTATAGCTGATTTTCGACTATAAGAGTTGCATTCCAAAGTTTGATATTCACCATTTGCCACCTTCTCTTAAAAAATAAATCTGGGTTTGAATGTGTTATATTTAAACTTAATTATCTTATTCCATTGGCTTGCAAAATTGTCAGGAGGACATTATTATATTTCTGTCTTGGAAATGCAGTTTGAGTTTCAGAGTGAGTCATGAGTTTCAGGCAGCAACATTTTATCAAAATAGATTTATACATTTTTGGACTGAAAAAGAAAATGCTCTAAATATGAATGCTACCTTTAAAATGAACATGACATGTAACACATGTAAAATGTCCTTTGTCCACAGGTGGACGTTGGCGACCGTGTGATGAAACTCAACACGGAGGTGCGTGACATCAGCAACCTGAGTAAAAAGGGTTTCTACCTGGCCTTCCAGGACCTGGGGGCATGTATCGCCCTGGTCTCAGTCAGGGTCTTCTATAAGAAGTGTCCCCTCACTGTGCTCAACTTGGCCCAGTTCCCCGACACGATAACAGGCGGAGACACAGCGCTGGTAGAGGTCCACGGCATGTGTGTTAACTCCTCTGAGGAGTTTGAAGCTCCCAAGATGTACTGCAGTGCAGACGGAGGCTGGCTGGTTCCCATTGGGAGGTGTGTGTGCAAACCAGGCTTCGAAGAGAACAAGGACGTCTGCCAACGTGAGTCGGGTGGGGATCCGGTGTGTGTATGTGTGTGTGTATGCCTGGAATGGGTGTTTGAGGCAGAGAAGGACAAATTTAGAAAGCAAGAAAGAGATATGTGCATGATGCTGTTGTGTATTTGCTTAATGCTTAAATGTATCTGAAAGTGACTTTATTATTGCACAATAACACCTGATTGTATGTTCTATAGTGTATATCACTGTATGCACAGGTTGCTTAAAGGTTGTGCTTCAAAAATGAAAGAAACCAATTACTCCACCAGCTTAAAAAAGTGCTCTTATGAACAGCATTCCTATCCATTCTGCACTCTGCGTCGTGAATATGTAATATGTAAACATGAGTGTATACATCTGTGCATACCTGTGTGTCTTTGCTGAACGAGCGTGTGCAGAGGCATTTCAGTGCTCTATGAATTCTGCTGTGAAACAGATCATGGAATGACAATGACTCTGCGTATGTAGGTTACTGATGCACTTTGCGTGTGTGTGTCAGCATGGGTGCTATCACTCCAAGTGACTTTTATACAGCTCCCAACACTGCAAGGACAGTTCTTGCAGAGAAAAGGGTAGGAGTTGCTTTGAGGCATCTTCTCTTTTTCTTTTTTCTTTTTTTCTCGAGTGTGTGTGTTTGTCACAGCTGAATATCTCATTTTCCCTGCTGAGTAGGGGAGAGCGGCGTGAGTGTGTGTGAGAAAACGCTCATTGATGTGTGTTTGTGTTGTAGGTATGCCTTAGGAAGCAGATTATTGAATCGTATAAAACTTCACAGATGGCGTGTGCAGTATGTGTGCGTCCGTATGCATGTGTATGCATTTGAGTGCGCAAGTTGTATTAGGCTCACGCTGTCACCTGTCCCCACAGGCTCACTTCCTCCCCAAAAAGAAAATGGAATCAAAGATATTCATCACTGCAAACTTGGAAATCAGTGCACATAATGCAATTTCAGTTGTTTTGGAGAAGCGGCAGCCAAGACACCCAGAAAACTTGGCAGTCGGGCCTTAGAGACAAGTGAATAAGAACAGAAGCTGCACTCTGCAGTTTGCAGGCTGGTAATGTGCACAGATTGTGGCAGAACTCTAGCTGCATCTCAATCATGAAACTGTGGAGCTACATGTCTGTCTTGTAAAATTGACATGCTATGGTTATGTGACGCATGATTTCACTGACAGGTTTTCAAATGATTTGACTACCTACAGCGGGTAGACCTATGTCACACTCCCTCTATTGAAACTTTATTTAAAGCCAGTCTGACGCAGCAAAGCGGTCGACCTCAGTGATCTCCATGACCTCATCAGTCTGCTCCCTCGGTCTTATCGCTCCGGAGAGAATAAATAGAGCAATGTAAGCGCGTTTAACAAGCCAGGTTTAACTCAGTAACAGCGTGCTCGTGTATGTTTGTTAGTACATGTGTGCTGTAGTCGTGTGTTGAGGTAATGATGGACTCTTATTGACAATCTGAGGTCATGGGTCAGGAAATATATGTGTCCCTCGTCTAATAAGTTATGGTCAGCGCAGATGTGGGTATGTGTGTGTGTGTGTGAAGGAAAAACAGGTGCCCAGTGTGTGCAGCACAGAAAGCAAAGCCAGGTTTTTGGTTTTAGTTGATTTGAAGGCATATTTTCTGGTGTAGCAATTGTTCTGGAAAAAATCAACTAGCATTTTCCAATAGATTTTAATTCCTTCATGGTGACTTGAAGCTTTTCTGCCACAGGTTTGTCTGCGCCACCTACTCAGCATTAGGATAAATATTTTTGCGGCATCTTGGGAAGGATTTGCATACCAATGACATTTCCTTCTCATACAGCAGGAGAATTTGCTGTCCCACGTATGTCAGCCTAACACATCTCATATTTGTTTGTTGCCTGTGAAATAATGCCAGATTCACACCCTGGAAACCAGCTTACTTTTGTTAAAATGGGCTATTTTGCTTGCAAGTGCCTTTATTCTGATATTGTTCCCTTTCCCTCGTCAAAATTTCACTTAGGCAACTAATGTAACTGCATCTGTAATCAGCCTGCTTTTAACAAAGACATGAGAGGACACAGAGAAGTACAACAACCCAGTGCGTTGAGCTTTAATGTGTTCCTGAGAGAACAAGGGCCAGGCTTTTAAAGAGTCCTCTCAGCGCTCGCCGTCAGCGCCAAACAAAAGGTTCCTGCCCTGACACAGTCTGCAGGTCTTCCATAGGGAAAACACACTCCGCTAATGCATTTAAATCAGCCTCTCTCGTTTGCTGTCGCACAAAGAGATGCAGGGGTGAGGTGAGGGGAGCGAGAGCTGGGGAAAGGACTGAAGGGGCATTTGTAATTATCATCATTGTGCAGGTGAACAAGCCTTTTAATGGACGCCTTGAATTCCCTTTCTCTTGTTCTTTTTTTTACCATTTAGCAGCTCTGATGCTCATTGTTTTCTTGTTCTGATGTTCTGTGTGAATCTTCTCGTAGTGTTTTGGCCTCTCAAGCCTCCTCTTTTTGTCTCTGTGTCACTCTCCTTCTTTCCCTCTGACTCCCTTTCTCTCTCTGTCTCCGTCTCTCGCTCTGTGTCCCTGTCTCTCTCTCTCACTCACTCTCTCACTCACACACTCTCTCTCTC